TGAGGAGGTGCAAAGAGGAGCAAGATTAGGGCTACACCAGATTATGTCAAGGTAGCATTTTGAATTTGATCTGGATCAAGTGTATGAGTTTGTGTTAGGATGAAGTAGCTGATTAATTTCTACTATGTCTTTAAACTTGAGAAGAGATACTAGGCTATTGTTTGGTGGTGAGAAGTAATGTATTTAGTTCTCTGATCATTACCAAAGTTGAATGCTGATGAGTAAATGGCTATGACTTCTAGTTGAATATTGCTGGTGAATGCTAAGGATATATGAATGAGTCTTCCTGAAATTTTAAAGGTTTTTTGTATATATCTGGACCAAAATGAATTACAAAGGATGCTGACTTCAGTTCTAAGGGAATATGTTTTATTGCAGGACCAGATATGTGAGTATCGTGCTAATAGTGTGAAGATAAATTTGGCTTGTTGGTTATTTAGTTTAGTTTCTGTTAGGATTAGGATGTCGAATTTGAGATTTTGAAAAAGAGTGATGGTATCTTGTGATTTGCCTGGGGTACGTAGACCTCTGGTATTGAGTGTGCCTATATTAAGCTGAAGAGAAGAAGAAAAAATATTATTATATGAATAAAGACTTTTGTTGAGATTGGAGTTATCAATATAGATTTCTGGATTGTTGGCTAGAGGATTATTATTATTGTGTTGGTCATTTGAGATATTATTGGTGTGTTGCATTAGTTGATGTTTGTTCTATTTGGCTTAATCTGCTGAGCAGTTGATTGTGTTGTGTGCTGAGTTGCTGTAGTTGGATTTTGAGCTTAGTGATGGTTGATGACAAGTTATTATTATTTTTTTTTAAATCTTCATTTTGTTTGGTAATTGCTTCGTATAAGTGGTGAGAAGTTATTTTGCTGAAAGATTCTGGTTCTGATAAGGTTGGCATAATTGGGACTTTTGGTATATTGTTATCATGATTTTCCAATTTGTTGATTAAGATATCTAGTTTTTTTTCCATGTTATTAACTTTATGTAGGACTTGATTTAGATTTATAATAAACTTGTCTATATCTTGGCGTAACTTTTGAATTTCTTGCTCTTGATTATCTATCTTAGTTTGGATATTTTTATGAGTTTGTTTACTATTGTTGAGGATAGGCTTGTCGAAATTTTTAGGTGTTTCACTTTGATTCTCTTTATTATGGATTATGTGTTTAGGAGTATTGAGTTTGTTTAGAAGGGCTTTTTTAAAGTTTA